TCACGAAACGATGCATGGCCTTGAATGCCCTTGCGGAACATGTGGAATTTACAGGGCATTAAATTGCCTGGTCAAGCGCACGTCGCAGAAAACTGTGGCAGAAAACTTGTGGCAGACTTGTGGCCCATTTGTTACATTAACCTTTTCTTTCATTTTTCAGCCTGCGTAGAAAAAAATGAGCTGGATGGAATGTTGAAACTCTTGGAAAATTTCAAGTAAGATTTTAAACGCAGTGTATCGCTAAGTTTGATAACCTTACATAATTGTGTTATGTTGAAAAGTTTTTCTGTCCATGACATGCTAAATGTGCTGCAAATTCTTTCTTAAAACACCGTTCGGAATGGGAACTTTATTAAAACAAAATTGGGTACAATTACAGGCATGTAGTAGACAGGAGCAAGTCCTACAATCAAGAGACTGTATCAAGGCTTCCTGTACAAAAGCAATGTGTCTGTACAAAAGCAATGTGTCAACACTTGATAACAAGAATAGTGAAAGGTATCAGTAAAATAAAAAATATAGTAGAAAAACATACAAATGAATGCATGAAATAGTGCTATAAAGTTAACTATCAAATCAAAGTGAAAAGTATAAGAAGATAAAAAAAAAAAAGCAATACAACAGTTTAATAATATTTATCCAAAAAAAAAACCAACAAAAGCACATATTATATATAACAAACAGTAACTCTTATGATTAGTCTGCATGAAGCAAATACATTTTAGTTTTTTTTTAATTTGTGAAATAGGCTTATGGTTTTTTTGTTAAATGGAAGAGTGTTCCGTAGTGAGATGGAAGTGAATCTTACAGTTAAACCTGGATATAACAAAATTGATGAATTCCCGGAAAAATTAATTTTGAAGAGGATTTCGTTATACGCATGTTCGGTACGAAAATTGTGAAAACAAACGCATAAATTAAAAACAAGAAAAAACGAACAAAAGAGCTAACCCGAAACACTTATTTTACAGAAAAAACTGCGTTACTATTGCGATAGCAATTATATGAATGCTCTCGGTGGGTTTTCGTTATTGCCGCCATGTTCTGTAACAACTCCGAATTGATAACATCCCCCCCCTTCCCCCCCACACCGCAAATTTCACGAGCGGGCAAAAGCGCATGAGCGTTGCTGAAGTAGAGTTCAAATTAGTCAGCCCATCCCCATGGCCTGAAAAGTGCATATCATCTCCCAAGTGTTGTTAAAACTGCCGTCGAATGCTCAAACAGAAAGTAAACCCCCTGTCTTGAACGACCATGAAACAATGCGGGAAGGGAGAATCACTCTAGTAACAATAACGAACTTGGATTTTAAGGGCGGTCCTGATCGCTGGCGCGTTCGCTATCTCGGCAAGTATCGGTGTGGATTCAACCCGAAGAGATTATGTAGAAAGAGCACTTCTCCCTAGAGCGATCGTATTTGCTCACACCATTGTTTTTTATTTTTTTTTTTTCAATAGGATTTTCACGATATCAGATCCAGAAAAGTTGGCTGCCAGCTTTGCTTTTTATAACATTACATTTTTTGCTACTGCGATCATTGCATTGCATTGAACGCGCCGCCGTCTTGCCAAAACTAATTGGCTAATCGTGAAACCTAGCAGCCTGCGAACTCGCTGCGCGGCACAAGACGGAAGCGCGTGATGAGCGTTATGAGTCGATCTCCGAAGATCTGTCGTCACCGAGGTCTAGGAGAGTTTCAGTCACCGCCTAATCTGACAACTGCTTGGTGATGAGGACACGGTTGTCCGAAATCGGGAAAAATCACAATTTCGCCGCAAAGGCGAACCAATGAATGCGGTAACAACAGCTTGAAATCTAACACATAGAACGGCAATCAGATCAAAACGTGCAGTGCGCTGCTCACGTACAAATGACACACGAAAACAACATACACAGAACAAGAGCAAACGAACAATGTTTATCCCTCGACACTTAATGCCCTGTTTAAACAAAAACAGGGCACAGAACGTAATGAGTTTGAACTAACAAGTGCCCCAGTTGTTACTTTTCGGTGTTTGAAAAGCGCACTCTTTTTGAAAACGACACCTGCCGAGTGAGGGAAGTGATCTTTGTGGGCCCGGCAACTAAACGCAATCGTTCCAGTCAAAGTCACGCGATTCTCCCCACCGAAGGATAAGCGTGCACGCAAAAGCATCTACCCCCCCCCCCCCCCCCCCCGCTTATTGCGGGGAAAAAAAAAGCGTGGGACATAAGCTCGTCGGCGCATTGTGACGAGCTGGGCGCCGGGTGCGAGTGGCTTTTTTTTTTTATTTAAGACGATAGCCTTTCTTGGGGACCTTCGACGCAAAAATTTTGGTCTGTCTGTCTGTCCATGGGTCCATTTGTCCACCCTTAATGGTACCGGGCACTTTAAACGGCAGCCGCGGATATCCCAAACGGCCGACCCCATCCGCAGCACCCACCAATGTTGCTCAAGATTCAGCGTTCATACTTGTGCGATTGTCAATTAAAAATTGGCCCAAATCTGCATGTAACACTGTAAATGTTGTCGAAAGACGATAGTCTTGCGTCTGGAGAGAGTGAACAAAACTTATTTGATGTTCTGCGCAAGAAAATCGGTGAATGGTATTCTGGAGGCGCAGCGTTACAGAGTCTCGATCCGTGCAGCGAAGGCGAACGAGTGCATCGAGGCACGTTAGACACTAGCGCCATCTGGCAGTTATCTTCAAAAACGAAGGCGTACGCGCTCGTGGAGAAAGATACGTGCTAGTCTCGGAGGTGATAAGGTGTAGAACGCAAAGCGACGGGCAGGTGCTACCACAGTGTCATCGTAGCAAAGCGTTGGAAACATCTTTTTGAGCATTGCGTTACACTGTCAACGCAGTGCGATAAACGCTACAGTCCTTAGAGTTGCTTATGTGTGCCTCTTTAGTATAAAGGCAGACACACAAAACATAGACGTGTTGTTATGGCGCCTCAGATATGCGCAATAATTGCTTTTTAACTAACAGTCGCACAACTATCAAGGCTAAACCTTGAGCAATATTGGTGGGCGCTGCGGATGGGGTTGGCCGTTTGATGCCGTTTGAAGTATCGTTAAGAGCAGACAAACAGACAAATGTACAGACAGACAGACAGATTAAAATTTTTCCGGCGAAGGTCCCCAAGAAAGACTATAGTCTTTAAAAGCAATTTCTGAGGCATATCTGAGCACCATAACAAATATACATTCTGTATGTGCGTCTTTTACTAGAAAAGGCATACATAAGTTATTCTAAGGACCGTAGCATTTATCACGCGGCGCTGACCATTTAACGCTTGCACGAAAAGGGAAGCGAACGCTTTGCTAAGACGACACGGTGGTGGCACCTACTCGTTGCTTTGCGTTCTACACCTTATTACCTCCGAGACGGGTGCGCACGCCCGTCTCAGAGCCACGCGTTTTGTTTTCCAAGATAACTGCCACATAGTGCTCATGGCTCACGCGTGACGCGAGTTGGTGCGCTCGTTCGCCTCCGCTGCACGCTTAAGGCACTTCAACGCAACGCCTCCAGAATACCATTCACCGATTTTCTTGCGCAGAACATCAAATACACATTTTCTTTACTCTATCCAGACACAAGACTATTGTCTTTTGGCGACATTTGCAGATTAACATGCAGATACCAGACCAATTTTTTCTTTACCTTTCATATATACAGATACGTATACATATCATATACAATGAATTGTGGCAGTGTCAAAAAACCAGCCGAGACTGTCCATATTCACAATTACTATCGCAATAAAAAAGAGAAAGCAAAGCTGAACGTTGGTGGCGGCCACACCATGCACGCGCAGTGAAACTATGCACGCGCGCATGGCGTCGAAAACGAAGAGCGAACGACATGGACACAGACATGGATACTTCAGAAAACTATTTGGTAAAGCGGCCTCCATATGCAGCACGGCCTCACATATATCATGCTAGTTAAAAGCGTGGCACTGCCAACGTGCAAAAGTAGTAGTTTTGTTTCTTATTTTTTTGGCCTGTAGTGGGGGGTGGAAGGGGCACACCCGTGCATGCGACCACGGCGGTGAGAACGGTGGCAATGCAGGCTCGTGGGGTGCAGGCCCGCCTCACGCAGAGGCGGGCACGGCCCGCGTGCCAGCTGATGCCACTTCGCGCTACGTCGGCGGTGAGGCGGCCGCAGAAAATGCATGCTTGTACCAAAATACGAAAATGCAGAGCAATATTCCTAGATTTCCAGTGGGAAAAATTCGTTATATCAAGGCTGTCTCCCGCTGTTACTTTGTTACATAGAGTTTGCAAATACATGTGCTTCTATGGAATGACAGGCGGGAATAGAAAAACTTTGTTACACTGAAGAATTCGTTATATAGAGGTTCGTTATAAGCACGTTTAACTGTGTTTGCTTGCGACTTTTGTGTTTTAAATAAACCTTGCCTTGTGTTGAACCTGTGGTTTTATTGTTGAGGTGAGTGTTAATTAGCACTTCTCAAAGCTTGCAATTATGTGCTGGCATGAGAATCCCGTTTTGCGGCCTTGGTTTCCTTTTCCACTCTGTACGTTTTTGGAAAAATTTTCCCAGAGTGAATCTCGCACACCCTACTTTTTCATTGGTTTTCCGCTAAAAAAAATGTGAGGATTATGCGAGTAAATACGGTATACCAATGAAGCAACATCAACAGTGTGATCTTAGCGTGACGAGAACAGCAGTAGATTTAAAACACAATAGATTTATGTCAGATGTTCCATATCTGCTGATTGTAGCGAATATCATAACACTATAAACAAGTTTTAAGTCCACTCCATGAGCCTTGCTGAACTTGGTATCATAACAAACTTGTGTGCCTTCTGCTGTAACACTGAGAGAAAGACTTAAGAATATGCACTACAAAGCCTCTCTTAGAAATAAGCACCTTTTTTATTTTTCAGTAACAAGTAACTTAAGCACAATACTGATACATCAAATATAGCAATGAATAAGGCCAGACTACTACAAAAAAGGACAAACTATCACGAATTCAGGTCGAACCTTGTTTTGAACTGGTCCAGAGCAGTGATGCCAAAGTAGTACATCTTGGTACCAAACGGTTTGCGGAGAGCATCCAAAACATAGCGAAGGGCCAAACCCAAAGCCATGTATCTGAAAAAAAAAAAAAAAGCCTGTCAGACTTTTCAATGAACACGACGAAAAAAAAAAAGTCTTTCCATGCACTTACGTTACGAGACTCTGTTCAATAATGCCTCCGAAAAGTTGTGCTGTTATAATGAGCTCTTTCTCAGGATACTGTGGAAAGAACCTGTATTCTTCGAACAGGTTCTTTATCATGCAATTGAACACATCCTGTAACAAGAAAAGAAACATTGTCAAAAATAAAATGCTGCATTGATACCTGGCAAGTTGAAGGATTCTGAATACACATTTCCGCAGCGGGGGGGGGGATGAATTATTTGCTCAGATTTTTTTTCGGCACCAAAAAAAAAAGAACAAACAAACAAAACATTGCGAAAAACAAGAGGGGGTGGGGGTGGGGGGTCTCAATCACAAGCACAAACATCAGTGTTGGGGTCGGCTTGGAGTGGCCGAACACACGAAGGTAGGGTTTCCCACTAAGGTGAGAGTCTAAAAGGATCAACCCAACTAGCAGAATTTATTTCCTTCAAAACAGCTCGTGTATGTCTTACTGGGACACACGTGAACAGACGGGACGGCACAGCCGGCTGCCACAAAAGCGCAGGTCCAAGCTTTGCTCCCTACTAGATTCTTTTGACAGGAACGCCAAAGCCCCTTTGGCCCCTTCGTTATTGACAGTCTAGGCTGGTTTTTTGCCGTCGCCGCCACCGCCATCATTCACCGTATATATATACTTATCTATATATGTATTAACACTCCAAAAAGGAAAAAAAAGCCGCCTGCGCTCAGTGCCCAGCTCGTCGCAATGCGCCGACGCGCGCTTATCTTGGACGCGTACTTTGACTCGCGGGAATGCGGGGGAAGGGTTTGATGCTTGTGCGCACTCATCTTTCGGTGGGGAGAATCGTGTGCCTTCGGTTTTCACTGAAACGATTGCGTTAGGTAGTTGCCAGGCCTACAAAGGTATCTTTGGTCTATACACAGGCCCCGTTTACGAAAAGAGCGCGCTTTTCATACACAGCGAGGTATAACTGAGACACTTGTTTTTACTCATCTGTACCTGTGGTTATGTATCGAGCATTGCTTTTTTTTGTTTCAACAGAGCGTTACGTGTCGAGTGGTAATTGTTAGTTCGCTCTCGTTTTGCGTGTACTGTTTTTGTACGTCATTTGTGCGTGAGCAGCGTGCTGCGTGTTTCCATCTGCTTGCCGTTCTGAGTGTGACATTCCAAGTTGTTGCTGTCACATTCATTGCTTTGCCCTTGCGGTGAAACTGTGACATTTTTTTTACGTATTTACTGCCTCTAGTCTACTGCTGCGTGCCCTCGGAGCTTGTAGATCGCTATCGCGCCGCCCCGACCCCGATGTTGTGCGCGACGAAAGTTGCGGCAAATGGTAGTTTCTTTTTCAATCCCCATGCGCTTGACTGCGCACACGCCTTGAAAACTAAGTCGTTTTATGCCATCTACGATCACATCTGCCGCGGTTTTGTCCGCTGGGTTTGCGGAAAGCAGCGTTGCTTTGACTGGTTGAGTGTTGGATGCACGCACACTTTCGGGACTGTCAGTTACGTCGTCGCCATACATGATCGCGTCAAAAGCGACCACGGTTTCGTCGACAGCGGTTGTGGCAACGACAATCACGCACACTGTAGAAGATAGTGTGTGCGCTAGTCGCACGCGTACTTCCGAAGCTTCGAGTACGCTGCTCTCGGCTTTCATTCGACGATTTCCGTACTAAAGTTCGTATCACCTGTCGCGATTAGGAAATGTGTTCAGAACATTCTAATTTATGCCCAATAGCCATAGTGGAATATCGCTGAGGAATTTTACGAATTCGTATCTGCCGTGGTCTCGCATCACTGAGATTCTACTGTACGTTTAGATGAACGCCTCTTAAACCCATTAATAATAAAATGAGGTAGGTTCGAAAAGCCTAGAGCGGATTGAGCTGCTTTTTTGTCAAGGCGGCCGGATCACGGACAAAAATTTTGATTTCTGGGAGATTTTCATGACAACCGTAAAAACGGAAGAAACGGTCCAAATACGGGAGTCTCCCGGCCAATCCGGGAGACTTAGCAGGTATGTACATTGTACCAATTTCAGCCTGTGAAGTCCTTTCACATTCAAAATGGCTGCATATGTTCTTGATAGTGGATGACAAGATTGCAAAGAAGAGGTACAATTTTTTGCAACCATTTAGAGAGCAAGGTTTGGTGCCTACTTTCTAATTAAAAGATATGAACGAAACAAGGCACCCTGCTTACCCTCTCAGACTTGATTGGAGACTCTTGGAAACGTTTCAGCATGTCCAAAACCTCAGCAATGGACAAAGTTGGATGTGGAGGATGGTTGTAAATGCGTTGAAAATATCCATTAGCTTCATCTTCAATTTCTTTTGACACAGGCTGGTTCATTTCAGGGAGGATGCTTGCTACATCTAGAGAGAACAATGCAACAAGTATAGATGTTAAAACAGAAAGACCTACTATATCTGCAACCTTCAATCAAATCGATTGCAAATAACGAAAGAATCAACCACAAATCTGTCTCACATGAGCTTAACAACTCGATAAAAAAAAAGCATTCCGCCTATTTAAAAGGAGCATGACAGCTGCCTCTCTGTTGGTCACCTTTCGATTCTGCCATGTTAAACATACCACTCAACCGAGTTTACTGTGTGCTACACATCACCAGTTAATGGCAAGTTAAATATGCATGCAGAAATTCATTAAACGAAAGCCACATCGGTACATTCATTCCTTCAAGTACACTAGGAAATTTACTTTCAAGTTTCACAGATATGAAACGAATACATTCTTTATCAGCAGTCAGAAAGCATTCTGCACTGAAGTACAAGTGACATTAATGAATCGCAGCCAGATTTTCTCCCATTTTTTTAATAACACCAAACTAGTAAAGTGCAGTTTTATCAATTTATAATATGCATTTGCTTCCAATATTTCCCCACAACATGACAAACTTGGACAGCATCAGAGAGATCTATCAGGTAGCGTTGAATTTTTTTAAGAAAAACCACTAAACATTTGCAAAGCTGTAAAACAAACTAGCCTCCAAGGCTGGGCATGACGTTAGAAAAGCCAGTTCCTTGAGCCGGGGGTGGTGGTCCAGTTGAACCAGTTGCACTTGGGGGTGCACCAAAAAGCTTGGCTGGTGAGCCTGGAGTGGCAAATGAACTGCCAAATAGGGGTGGGCCCCCTCCCACACCAATTGGTGGGGCTTGCGCTGTAGTTGGGCCATTCATGGAAAGGCTTCCTAAAGAGCTGAGGACTTCCAGCTGCTGCTGTTGCTGCTGCTGTTGTTGCTGCTGCTGCAAAGCAAATTTTAAAAAACGACAGGCAAACAATAACCAAGGAGCAAAGTTGACAACTACCTGACCATATTATTCTGTAAACTGCTCACTGAAGCAAAACTTGAGTGAATATCAATTTATTAAATCCTACAAAATAGCAAGAATGTTAATCAACCTTAACAAATCACAGACAGGAGCTAAAGACAGGTGGCAGTGCCTTCTAGAATTTTGGAGCAGTCATTGGAGCAGGCAAAATCTGCTTTTGGAGCAGCTACCGCAGTGATTGTAGCATGCACGGGCTTTCCATGACACACACAGAGGAAGAAAATTAGCCTTGATTAGTGTAATCTTCCCCCCAGTTTACATATTCATTGACATATCTGCCAACCTGGTAACAGAGAAATTCATAACATCACCAAAGGGGGTGGGAGGGGGGTTACAGACTTTCCTTTTTTAATTTGTAGCTGTGATGAATTTGCCTTTAGCGACAAGCGTAATACTATGTTTTGCCGCCAAATGACAAGCCAAGTCAAATCAACGAGCTGAATTATTCTCCCCCATTTTTTGGCACCAAAATTTAAAAAAAAAGAACAAAAGAACACCAAGAAAAACAAGGGGGTTCCCATGCCAGCGCAAACATCGGCGTTGCGGTCTCATAATGGCTTGGAGTGGCCGAACAGACGAGGGCAGGGTTTCCTACTAAGGTGAGAGTCTCAAAGCGAGAGCGCCAGTTCTCCTGAAATTTCGCATCATCAAAACAAATAGCAAAAAAAAAAACATATCTATCAAAACACCTCGCGTATGTCTTCACACGTGAGCGGACACGACGGCGCAGCTGGCTGCTGAAAAGCGCAGACCAAAGCTTTGGCTTTGATCGATACTAGATTCTTTGGACAGGAACACCAAACCGCCTTTAATCTACCGCTGCATCAGCCACGTGCCCTCGGAGCTCATACATCCCTGTCACATCGCTGCGACCGCGATTTTGTGTACGGCAGTTGTGGCAAATGATAGTTTTGTTTTCATTGCACGTGAGTTCAAAGCTAAGTTGTTTTATGCTATCTATAATCGCAACTGCCGTGGTTTTGTCCACAGAGTTTGCGGAAAGCAGCATTGCTTTGACTGGTCTCGAGTGCTGGCTGCACGCACACTTTTAGAGTTCGGTCAGTAATGTCGTCGCAATACATGATCGTGTCGAAAGACCACGGTTTGGTCCACAGCGGTTGTGGCAATAACAACAAGACGCATTGTAAAAGACAGCGCGTGCGCTGGTCGCACGCGTACTTCAGAAGCTTCCAGCAAGCTGCTCTCGATCGGCCTTCGTTCGACGGTTTCATATCGCACGCCGCGATTAGAAAAAGTGTTCGGAACATACAAATTTTGACCCATCAACGCATGAATTCAGCTAGGGAATTTCACAAATTCGTATCTGCCGCTGTTTCGCATCACTGAGACTTTACTGTATGTTTAGATGAACGCCTCTCAAATTTGTTTATAATAAAATACGGGGGGCTCGCAAAAAGCCTGGAATGAACTGACCTGCATTTTTGTCGATACGGCCAGATCTCGCATACAAATTTAGATTTCCGGAAATTTTCATCACAGCCGTACAAACGAAAGAAACTGGAAAAAACACCAATACATATTGTTCTCTCCTGGTGGCCTCCACGACCAGCTATGGCGCTGCGCCTTTGCCACACGCAGAGGCCACACTATTTTACTAACTTTACTTTTTTTTATCGGAAATGAAATATTCTTCATAAAACTTCATGCTAGATTCGTAAAATCATAGGTGCGGTATGTGTGTGTCGTGTATGTGTGTCCTATCCTGAGCCTCGTTAGTATCACCTCTGTATGACGCGATTTCGATACTGGCGGCCAATGGCCAAGGTGTGGCTTAATAATGTGTAGTTTGTTTTGTGTGTGTCTATCCCACTTGCTCTGCCAGTAGTCCCTGAGCTTTCGCTTGAGAGACTGCTTAAGATCAAGGGCCGGGATTGATATGGGTGTAGTGGCAGTGCTTTCATGGACGGATGCAGCAAGCTGATCCGCCATCACGTTGCCTTGGATCTCACGGTGCCCTGGCACCCAGCACACTACAACATGTTGTTTGAGTGTGTAGAGTGTGCATAAAATAGAGTCTAAGTGAGATGAGGACAGAGTTTTTTTTAAGAGTTTGCAGAGCTTTTACAAAACTGAGGGATTAAGTATAAATTACTGCTTTTTGTTGTTGTAATTGTTTGATGTGTTTAACGGCCACAAGTATCGCGTAAGCTTTTGCTGTGAAGATACTTGTGCCTGGATGTAGAGGGCCAGCATCCGAAAAAGATGGGCCGACAGCAGCGTAGGACACAGAGGAGTCAGAGGCATCTATAAAGAACTCAGGACGTCTGTATTTGTGTTGAAGTTCCAGGAAGTATGTTCGGATATGGACAATGTGCACATGTTTTGTAACTTCTAGGAAAGACACATCGCAGTCTATAGTCTGCCACTGTCACAGTGGCGGGTATGCTACAGGAGCCATTAAACTGTGTTCAAGTGACACTCCAGTTTCCTCAGCTAGACCCTTCAGGAGAACTGAGAAGAGCTGCCTCATCGAAGGCCTGTTTTGAAACAGAATGGAGCTCGACAAATCACTAATAATAGAGTATGAGGGGTGCTTCTTGTCTGCTTTCACCTTAAGGAAATATACAAAGGACATGTAAGTTCTCTGCAGATGAAGCGACCACTCATTTGACTCAAAGTAAAGGCTTTCTACGGGGCTGGTGCGAAAAGCACCCGTAGAAAGGCGGATGCCCAAATGGTGCACGGGATCCAGCATCTTCAAAGCACTTCGAGTCGCAGACTGATAAACAACGGCCTCATAATCTAAGCGGGTGCGAATGAGGCTTCTATACAGATTCATGAGGCATTGCCTGTCACTACCCCGCGTAGTACGTGACAACACTTTTAAAACATTCATGGCTTTTAAACATTTAGTTTTTAAAGACTTGATGTGCGGTACGAAGGTCAACTTGTTGTCCAAGATTAAGCCTAAGAATTTATGTTCCGCATTAACAGACAGACGTTGACCGTTCAGTTCAATGTCGGGTTCTGAGTACATGCCTCTCTTTCGGGAGAACAAGACACACGTGCTTTTTTGTGGGTTCAGTCGGAATACGTTTTCCTTTGCCCATTTGGAGGCCTTGTTTAAACCTAACTGAACCTGCCGCTCACACATAGCCAGATTGCAAGATCTAAAGCCAAGCTGGACGTCATTGACATATGTACAATAAAACATATTGCGAGGGATAGACAAGCGCAAGGAATTCAATTTGATGAGAAAAATTGTGCAGCTAAGTACACCACCTTGCGGCACGCCTGTTTCCTGGACAAATGTTTGGGAAAGAACGCTGCCCACTCGGACAGGGAATGTCCGGTTTGACAGGTAACTTTCGATTATGTCAAACATTCTTCCACGCACGCCAAGGTGAGACAGGTCTCTTAGAATTCTGAAGTGCCATGTTGTACCATAAGCCTTTTCGATGTCGAGGAACACAGAGAGAAAATATTGTTTATGGACGAAAGCGTGTCTGATCTGTGCCTCGATACGAACAAGGTGGTCTGTGGTGGATCTACTCCCTCGAAACCCGCAGTGAAATGGATCTAGCAAATTGTTTGTTTCAAGGAAATGTACAAGTCGGCAGTTTATCATTTTTTCGAAGACTTTGCAGAAGCAGCTTGTAAGTGCAATAGGCCTATAACTCGAAGCTAAAGAAGGGTCCTTGCCCTCTTTCAAAATGGGAATAATGATAGCCTCTTTCCAGGAGGTAGGGATAGTGTTAGAAAACCAAATAGCACAAAGTAAGGTTTTTCACGTTTCGATTGGTAGGTTTTTTAACATTTCATACACCACACGGTCAGAACCTGGGACAGAAGTACTGCAGGAGTTTAGAGATGTTCAGAGCTCAGCTAGACTGAAAGCTTGGTTATAATGCCTCGTTTCTAGTGCAGTTGTGTTCGAGTTTCTGCTTTTCTATTCTTGTTCTGTATTTTTGGAAAGTGTCAGTATAGTGGGACGAGCTGGACACCAGTTCGAAGTGTGCACCGAGGAAGTTTGCCTGATCTTCCAAGGTATCACCCCGAGTGTTTACGAGTGGAAGTGTGTGTACTTGTTTTCCTGCTATCCTACCAATCATGTTCCAGACTTTAGCCTCCTGTGTGTATGAATTGATCCCTGACAAAAACTTCTGTCAGCTTTCTCTTCTGGCCTGCAGACGCGTTCTCCTGCCGTGATACTTTATTTTCTTGAAGGTGTCAAGATTTTCGGCTGTCGGGGAGTTCCGAAGCAACCTCCATGCTCCGTTTTGATGTTTGCGCGCGTTTCGGCATTCAGAGTTCCACCATGGGACATGTTTTCCAGGGTGTCCATTTGTTTGTGGGATGCATTCTGTTGCAGCATCAATAAAAAACGCTGTGAAGTAGTCGACAGCAACATCAATGCTTAAAGTATATATGTCACTCCAATCTAGACGAGCCATGGTATGAAACTGTTCCCAGTCGGCTTTGTTTATGAGCCATTTGGGAACACGTGGTGGACACTCAATTGCTGTAGTTGTGCTCAAAACTACGGGGAAGTGGTCACTTCCGTACAGATTACTGACGACTTTTCACTGGAGTAGAGGCACAAGAGATGGAGACACTATGCTTAGGTCTATGGAGGAGTAGGTGTTATGAGCGAGATTATAATAGGTTGGTTCTTTTCGATTTAGGAGACACGCGTTTGACGAGAGAAGGAACTGTTCAATCAGTCGACCTCGCGCGTCGCAACGAGAGTCCCCCCATAGCCTGCTATGCGCATTAAAGTCTCCAAGGAGAACATAAGGCTCCGGAAGTTCATCAATTGAAGAGTGCAAATCGCGTTTTTGCAGCTGATAGCTAGGAGGAATGTAAATAGTGCAGAGTGTGATCAGTTTATCAAAAAGAACCGCTCGAACAGCCACTGCCTCAAGGGATGTTTGGAGTTGTAAGTGTGTGCATGCAATCCCTTGATTCACTATAATGGCAACACCTCCGGATGATGTCATGGCATTACAGGGTCCTTTCGGAAAATAACGTATTTACGAAGAAAATTTGTGTGTTTTGAATTAAGGTGTTTTTCTTGTACACACAGCATTTTTGGTGAGTGTTCGTGTAAAAGTTCTTGGATGTCGTCAAGGTTTCTGAGAAGGCGCCTGACATTCCATTGTATAATTTGAGTGTTCATGGTGAATGTAAAATAGTGCTGTGTGTACGAAAAGCGAGCGGCTGTTTAGACGGGGAGTTTGAGTTCACGTAACAGGGCCGTCACCAGGCCCTGTTATCTGCTTTTTTTGTTTTCTTGGCGCACTCTAAAGAGCCACGCCGCTCTTTCGGCACCAAGGGTACCGATGTATTCATTGCCTCCTCGGAGGCACTGGATGCCCGCACGTGCGGGCTGTTAGTTCGAATTTTGGGCCTCGCCTGGCGAGGTGAGGCCTTGAGACCTGAGGACTCTGGAGTCTCCGGTCTATGTCTGGGAGTAGGCGGTGTAGCCTGAACTACAGCCGCCTTGGGGGCAGGTGCCACAACCGACAGCTCGCTATGCGCGGGCCGAAGGAATGGCGAGGGCTGGTGCGGCGGTGCCCCCTGACGCGCCGCATTAGCATATGTAGGTCCATAGATTGGTGCGACTCTTCGCCGTGCTTCCTTAAATATGTTCTTCTTCACCTTTAATGTAATTATTTCTTTTTCTTTTTTCAAGTATGTGCAGGAGCGTGAATATGCGGCATGGTTTCCTACGCAGTTTACATAGTGTGGCTGTTGTTTGCAGTTCTCAGACACGTGGCCTAGGACTCCACATTGCGCACAAGTCTGGCGACCACGACAGGTTTTAGAGCCATGGCCATACCTCTGGCATTGGAAGCAACGACGAGGGTTTGGTATATACGGCCTGATAGATGTCTTCGTGTATGCTGTTTGAATAGATTCTGGTAGTTTACTGGATGCAAACATGAGTATTAAGTGTTTCGTCGGTATTTCCTTATTATCTCTTCTGATGATAATTCTCTGTACATTATTGACATTTTGGCTCTTCCACCCTCCCAAAAGTTCAGTTTCGGTTAGGTCAAGTAAGTCTGCGTCAGATACCACTCCGCGAGAGATGTTTATAGATCTGTGTGGTGTTACGGTGATCGGTACGTCACCAAACGTTGAGAGGCTGTCTAGCTTTACAAATTGTGCTTTGTCCTGAATTTCGAGGAGAAGGTCTCCGCTAGCCATTTTGGTTACTTTGTATCCAGCCCCAAGAGTTTCAGTAAGACACCTGGCAACTACGAAAGGAGATACGGTCCTGGCTTGCTTCCCGGTTTTTTCACAGTGAATGACGTGGAAGTGGGGGAAAGTTTCTATTGTCTGGTTGAAGAAATTTATGTCATCGGTGCGCACCCGCTTTAGGCCGGTACGATCAGACAGTAGAGGGAATGCTCCATGCATGCCCGTCTTATTTTTGTTCAGCAGCGTTGGCGGCCACCCACCACGGAGCCCAACAAGGGGACGCTGCAAGTTTGCAGGTGCTGAAAGCTTGCAGATGTCAGCCGTACAACACTGCCATAACCCAATGCACCTAGACCAAGGTAGGCTATTTGCACAGGGTTAACCCTTGCCGCCTGGAAAATCAGAAGTAAACAGAAGAGATAAGTAGACAGGACAGACTAAAAGAGAGAGATAAAGACGAAGTTGTACGGGAGAGAGTGTAGGGAGAGAGATAGGAAAAGGCGACAGCCGATTTCCCCTGGGTGGGTCAGCCCAGGGGTGCCGTCTACGTGAAGCCGGGGCCAAAGGGGTGTGTTGCCTCTGCCGGGGGGGCCTTAAAGGTCCAATCACCCGGCGTCGGCTCAACCCCCAGGATTCCTTTTTCCAGAGATACGGCAAAGCCACGCACGGCTAGGCGTGGGAGGGAGTAGAAACTCCCCCATTAGCTCGGGTTCGTGGTGTCGCTACGGACCAAATGGCTACTTACGCAGACGCCCCTGCGGGGAACATGCCATATGCTAGTATGCAGCTAGTATACAAGCAGTATAGTTGGCGTAAATCAAGGCAGAGGGGGGGGGGGGTCAAGAGAGTTTGGAATTTTCAGGCTGGTGAGGACACCATTAGTTACAAGTGTCCCACTTGAGATTTAGCTTTAGCACGTGATATAATTGAGTTAACAGTTAGATATAGCATAATAAATTTTTTTAAAGTCTTTTTATCTTTTCTTTTTTTACTGCGTACCTGTGTTAAATGCCCCTCAGCTGTGTGAACTATGGAAATCGAAAAAAAAAAATTGAAAAAAAAGGACTGTAGAACAATACAATTGCTCAAGCTTGAACCCCATGCTCTTTTTTTTTTTCAATTTTATTTGAAAGCATGAGTTCATTCCTGTATAAATAAAAATACAACCTATATTTAAAATATGAATTGGACACCATGGCCTGATATGCGTCACCCCTTGAGATTTTTCTGGATTTTTGCTACTGAGCAGCATACTAAGATGATAGTGTGTACAGCTTGCTTTAGGTTTTGCTTAAGCTCACGGGATGGTACCACGGTTCAGCTTCATTTTTTCTAATTTGCCAACATCTTTTCGGAGCAGGTTTGGAGCAGTTACTAGCAAATATTGCACTTTGGAGCAGTATGGAGCAGCATTTCTCTCTTGGAGAAGTTTAGAGCAATTGGAGCAGCACTTCCATCACTGACCTAACTGCACACTAGACGTAGTGTGCATTAACCAACAAGTACATAAATAAGCGTGTGCATGGTTTCCCTGCAGGAGGGGGGGGGGGGGGGGGGGGGCAAAGGTTAGTTGCAGTGCCCCTTCTTATCATGTGTATGTATGGTGCTGACTTTATGCCCCCCTCTTGCCCCCCCCCCCCCTCACTATTATGTCAATTTATGGGGTTGGCATCTTTACACCACTCTAACCCCCCCCCCCCCCCCCCCCCCACTCCAGTATAGTATGGTGTGCACACGCCTATGACCAAGCATGTATCAATTTGATTTCTTCCAGTGCGCCATCACCCCTGAAAATTGATTGATATGTGGGGTTTAACGTCCCAAAACCACCATATGGTTATGAGAGACGACGTAGTGGAGGGCTCTGGAAATTTCGACCTCCTGGGGTTCTTTAACGTACACCCAAATCTGAGCACACGGGTCTACAACATTTCCGCCTCCGTCGAAAATGCAGCCGCTGCAGCCGGGATTCGATCCCGCGACCTGCGGGTCAGCAGCCCAGTAGTCACCCTTAAAGAATATACAGTGCCACAGCAAGTATTGCCTAAACAGCTCATCATGAAGCCATTGCTTTCCTTTTGCTAATGTTCAGAAATTATTGGCATTCTCACGCGACCAACGGATGGCGCGCGGTGGTGACACCAAAGAGCCTTTCAAAACTACTGCGGAGTTCGGGATACACATCCAACGCAGTCAACTGGCTAGTTGCGCGCAGCACTTCGTCTACTTGGCATGCACAGACCAGCAAGGAGCCTGTTGAGCAGAGCGACGCTGCGAGCTTTTTGTAATCGATGCTCTAGCAGTCCTGGCAGCAGACGAAGCGGCGTTAGGCGGTCGCCTCATGAAAGCATGAGCTATACTAGCTGTCTCAGTGCCTGCGATCCACAACGCTTTACTCCGCAACAGTGAGCTGCTTTAATTTTTGCAAAGCAGTGCACACTGAACCCGATCCCGCAAAACGACTGAGGTGGCAGCGTTAGGTGCCTCAGTGCTCTCACGTAGTCGCCGGCTATGAAAAGCGTTAAGTGGGCTTGAGTGGCACTACGCCACACACGTAGGGTTTTTGTCAGCGATAAGTCACACTGGCGCGCCTTTAGGTAGTCGCCACATCGCCTTCGTCCTTAACCAATGGTTACCAGAAAAGGCACCCCCGAAACTTCGCGGAAGTTGGAATAATTGATCGGCTGATTCCGTACTTTTGCAGTGACACAAATGTACGCAAATGCAGCAGCGCAAGATAACGGCCATCACGTAATATCCGCTCGCGATGCGTGCTGCCAACATTAATTTCGTTTCCAAGACCATCTTGTGATGCATCAATGGCGCAAATTAGACAAAAAAGACCCTTTTGAAGCGGTATGGCGCAGTAATTCATAGTTATCTCAAGCTTCACACCACTGTAAAGACAGCATACTTACAGGAGCTTGAGATGGATTGAGGCTGGCGGCTGAAAATGCTGGCTCCAAGCCCCTAGGTGTTTTAACAACACCAGGTGGTGGTTGGCGTGGCTTGTTTAGCAGAATACTACAATTTCCGGACATTGTCAAGATAGTTTCCGAAAGCTCCTGACTAACACTCCTGCAAAAAAGAAAAAAAGAGAACAGTGCATTCATTCACTAAAACACGTGCAGTCAAAGCTGAAGTGAAAATGTAAAGACATAACAAAACTGCCTGTATTTCAGATCCAAATACCATCTGCTTGGAGAAAATATAATGTTACAACAAAACGTATTAACAGATATTTACAGGCAGAGATAATGGCTGGCACACTGGCCCGCTGAAACCAGTCTCTACAAACTTCGTAGTTGTCTGCCCCAGACCGAGACCCTTTACCGCCATATGCTACAAACACACTACTGCCTTGTGACAATACGACACGAGGAAAACCAGCAGATTTTCCTTGAACTGTAATATAAAGCAGGCCCATTCAGAAACTGAAATGTACTGTATCATAATCCAGCAGCAAAACATGTCTCACTTACACATGATAAACTTTTTAACACAAAGCATAAACCCTATTATATGACTGAGGGCACCATGCCAAACAGCCATATAATTGAGAAACTAATAATATAGGCAGCAAGTTTCAACCTAGCACCCCCCCCCCCGTACCCCCCCCCCCCCAAAAAAAACAGGTACAGATTGCCTGAATTTCACTATCAGCTCATCTACATTGGCTAGGATGTCACTGAAAGGCTATTATTGCGATAGCAATTACATGGACAGTCTCGGCTGGATTTTGCCGTCACTGCTACCGTCATTCATGTATATGTATATGTATGTATACATATACGGGGAAGGATGTGCTAGCCTCCTCTTTCTGTGGAGCGAACATCGCCTTTACGGCAGGGGTCGTCCGCACGCGCGCTTATCTCGTGAGCAAAAGGAGGCGAGGGAGGTATTTGCATCTGAATTTATCATTTGTAAATATCTTGTTCCTTACGCTAGTAAAGAATTTATTACTAAGCTTATTAATGGTTTGATAATATAATAGCACCCACAAAAGTTTCGAAAAAAAAGCTACTCTCAACTATAGCGGCTGGATGCCGACCATGTTTGGTTTTTGCACTGTTGTCATTGTTGCCTGCATTCGCGGATGCCGATTGTTCGATTCCACGTGTTGTGGTTACTTCGGTAACCACAACACGAAATGGCGACTACGCGAAATCACTACTGCCATCTCATTTTGCATTCGGAAAGTCAGTCGTGCGCCCCACTTCAGCCAACTGTACTCCCGCCCGATCGCCCACATCGTCGGGCATGTTGGTTTCCGAGTGTGTCCTCCAGCTGTGGCAAGTTGTGTATAACAGCCGCGTTTATATTCTAGGAGCACCTTTTTACCCATAAAAATTATTTTTGTGAATACACGCATATTTCATGCAAGTTTCGGTAGATTTTTATTTCTCCTGAAATTCATGGCTGGGGAAGGCTAAGGTGGTGGTCATCGTTTCAAAATGACGTTTGTTTTTGTCATGTTGCAGCACGCAGGTAAAATGACATTAGGTTCGTTTAATGCCGTTCGTTGTACATGGCATTAGATTTGCCGCGTGACAGGGGTACAGTCGAACCCAGGTATACCGAACTCGCCAAAAAACGTTTATTAGTTCGATATATGGCATAATTTGATATAGGCCCGGTATAGGTTTTGACACAAAGGCACATAACAAACTAGAAGAAAAGTACTTTATTAATATGGTGGCTTACTTGCGTGCCCTACTATGAAACAAAATAGTCCCGGATTTTTTTTTTTTTTTTTTGGGTCAACGACTTCACTGCCTGCGACAGCACGCATGCCTCCACGTTGTCCAACGAGTCAAAGCAACTCAGGCCGCAACCTTCCACATTCAAGCAATAGCGCCGGACCAACGCAAGTGCACTAATCACTTCGGAGGATGTAGGCAATGGGCTGTCGTCGATTTCCTTATTGCTGTCGCTTTGGCTCGTGGTCGGCATGCCGTCTGCAATGTAATCCTCATCCTGTAATTGGCCCATGATGGGGACATCATCGTCCGAACTGACGAACTCGTCGAATGTCGATCCGTCGATAGCACCCGGAAACTCTGCCAGCTCGTTCCAAACCGGCGGAAACACCTGCTGTGTCTTCAGTGCGGTCAGAATTTGGGGTGTCATCACCAGGCATGCGGAAGCCGGCATGCCTAAAGCAGTTCTCGATCGTCTCCTTCTTGACATCTGCCCACGATCTACTCAACATAGAAATAGCTCCGAGCAAGTCAATCTTAAGCTCCCCGCCGACACGAAGGTTCTGCAGCAGCCTTTCCACCAGACGCTTCCGATAGCCGGCTTCCATTGCACGTATAACGCTTTGATCCAGTGGTTGCAGTACAACGTAGTGTTCGGGGGCAAAAAACGCAGCTCGATGTTGCTGAAGGTTGTACTGCAGTGGTGTGATGAACACTTGTCCACGAGCAGGCACACCTTGCAATTTTCGCCTACCAAATCATCATTCCACGACAATAGCCATCTGCTCAAAAGCTCCCCGGTCATCCGCGCTTTTGAGTTTGCTCGATAGGTAACTGGAAGCGACAGCGCATTTCGAAAACACCACGGTGCCGTGCTTTTCCCGATAACCAGAGGTCGAAGCTTTTTCGATCTGTCTAAATCAGCTGCCAACAGCACGGACACACGAGCTTTGTTTGCCTTGCCGCCGCTTGTGTTGTCGCCACGACACGCAAGTGTCTTGTTTGGCAACATTTGCCAAAATAGAGCGGTTTCATCGGCATTGAAGATATCTTGGGCTCTATATCTTGCTGCGATATCTCGCCAGTTCTCCTCGAGCCATTTATCTACGCCGTCCAAGTCCGCCGCTCTGCTTGCACCTGTAACAGCTTTGCCAACGATGTCGTGCCGTTCTTTGAACTGCTGAAGCCAGCCTGAACCGCCTTGGAAACCATTTCTGCCAAGCAGAAAAGCAAGGTCCTTGTCTTTCTGTTCGATCATAGGGCCGGACACCGGGATGTTTCGTGACCGAACGTCTGCAAACCACTTGTAAACGGCCGCTTCAACATTTTCGCACACAGCAGCGTGCACACGTCGGGCGCCACGGGCACCTGGCCTTTTGTGCGACTTGGCCCTGATGTCTGCCTTGTTCTTCAGAATAGTACTAAAGGTGCTCCTTGGAATTTGGTACGCGGCGGCGACGTCAGACTTCTTTTCGCTGCACTCAACCCGATTGATGATTTCGAGCTTCGCGGCGAACGGCAAATTTTGCCTCTTTGCGCAAGCCATGATGACAGCGCGCCAATACAGTTCATAGAGCACCAACAGGCAACACCACAGACCACGCCGAAACGGCAGCAGCAGGCATACAAGCATAAAGAAAGAAAAAATCGCGCTCACTTCTACCGCCTCCGCGCCTCGGAGAAAGCACGACTGCCTCCGATTGGCTGTAGGCGCTGCGAGCGGGCCAGGATCATTTCTTGGAGGGGGGTGTTCGCCCGCGCACAACCGGGTTTAACCAACTTTTTCTAGGGTGGCACCGTCAGTTTTCCCCGCCACCGCGAGGGAAAGCCAACTTGCTGGGGCACTTTTGAGACACATAGAGTTTGATATATCAGTTGACGATGCTATTTTCGTTCGATAAAACAGTAACTTTTGCTATCTATTCTCAATGTAAACTTACCGTGTTTAGGAATTGTTTGATATACGGGATAATTTGGTATAAACTGGTTGGATATAATCGGGCTCGACTGTATTACCCTTCATTTAGCCTTTGAAAGTAGATTCGATAGACTTGTAGTCAGCATGACACAAAGAGCAAATATCGCTTGTGCAACAGCCAAAATAGAATCTTGAGTAATTTTTTGAGCAGCAAAATGTTACTTTTGGAGCACTAAAATCAAAACTTCGAGCAGGTTAAGGTAAAGTTTTTTTTTTTTATCATGACCAAATTTGGAGCAGCATAAAAAAAGGCTTACATTTACAAAACATTCAACCCCCCAAAATCGTACAGAGTGAACATGAGCACTGCTATTTCAATAAAAGTAGCATTCTGAAGTCCAACTTAGCATTTGCCACACCTGTCGAATTCTTTGACCGACTCTGCGAATTCAAGAGTGGCTCTGCCAAGCTGGCGACCTTCAAATTTGGGAATAAATAAAATCCGACACACGAAGTCTTTTTTTTTATTTGGAAGCAAAAATGTCCTTTACTGCTCCAAATGATTGCCAGTGACTTTTTTAGATGTCAGCAATGATACTAGTGCTCACAATTATGCAGCGCTAACAGCCCCTTCCAAATCATAATACACTTTTTCGCGGGACACTGGTGTACAATGGCCACGGTCACTTACGCAGCGCAGCGTTTTGCGCGGGTTAGAACAAGGCTACGTAACTTTCGAACTGCTATACACACATCCCCCCCTTTCACGATGGCATTCGGTTTAGCGCACAACTTCTTGGCTCGCTTGTAAGGCGCGTTCAAACAGATAAGCAACAACAGCGAGCCCCCGGTGATCCAGCAACAGTACCATATCTATCTATTGCCAGGACAACGCAACTTCAAACCAGAAACGTTTCATGTGCTGTTGCTATGGCAACCAACATGGTGACTGGCAACGACAGTGTTTGCAGCTTGTAGACTTTATTCGACATATTTCCGAAGCGCAAGAAGACGAGTACTTACAATGTAGCTACAGAAGGAAGAAACATGAACAGGAAAGAGCGCTGTTCGCGTGTGGGAAACGCTGCATACGTTCCTAACATGCCATAACCGTGTTTGCTGACTAGGAAACTGATATTTCCCACAAATCAAGCATTAATGGCTATGGCAACACATTTTTTTTCTTTTGCTTGAAGTTTGGTATTCGGTGCGGTCAGCGGACCGATGGCCCGCGGCGTTGTTACTTCACCTTATACTTTATCTGGTCGATGGCGTTTTGCGAGTGTCCTCACCTAGTGAGTACATAATTTAAGCCGTGGTTAAAGGTTAGGGTCTGGATGTTTGGTTCGATTGACGACGCAAATTGCAAGTGGCCAATGTGGCCTCCATCTCTCGCTGAAATTAGCGCACCTGATATAATTTTGAGGCTAGTCTGGCATTTTGGCACAGCATGATGCAATTTCAGTAAATTTCATGGTTAGGCGAAGTTTGGCGCAACAATGGGGAATTGCATCAAACTGTCACAATTGGTGCACCGCTGCTCCAGAATGAAACTAGTGGGTATTTTGGCACTGAACTGCATAAGGAACAACACTACTACCCAGTGAGAATAACTGGGGCTCTAGCGAGGTCATTGGGAAAGAACTGGGCATCACTGGTGAAGAGGGTGGTTTCAATGCTATGACATTGAAGCACTTCCTGGTTTACATAATTTAAACGGTGGTTTGAGTTGTCACAAATGCAACTTTGTAAGCAATGCGGCCCCTGTTGAACCAGCTGACGTAAAAGCCTTATCACACCCTGCGCAGCTTGTTTGGGGAAAAGAGCGAGTAGGCTGTGGAAGAGCTGTTACACTGAACGTACTCTAGCATCATGTTTGACACCAGAAAAAATTCCCGAAAATAATTTTTAAAATATCTTTCGACAACTGATTGCCATGTCGCTCCACCCCTCTCCTACCTTTATTGCAAATAATTATAAGCTTGTAAACTTACCCTGCATATTGCTGGAGACAGGAAAGCATAGTAGCCAATGTTTCAGCTGGTAGTTGAGCACTTTTCGGCAAATTCTCCTCCTTGACTATGCCACCCATAATCTGGGGACACCTACGCTTCAGGAAATTGACACAGGCTTGAATGAATGCCTCCTGTTAGAAAAGTTCATGGAGAAGAAATTATACGAATAAACACAGGTATCTGAAAAAAAATTACTACATGTTATACTATGAATTAAAAATGACAATTTTATAAACACCAGTGTCTAAAAAAAAGTACATGCTATAGCACGAAATAAAAATGACAATTTTGTAAGTTTAAATACAGGAAGCAGAATTGTGCATTTCCCACATTCAGAGTGTGAATGCACAGTATCATAGTAACAAGTTTTGTAGATATTTTCCACCAGTATAAGCTGTTCGTGGAACAGGTGATGGATGCATGCATACATAATCAGTGGTTAGCACGCAACAAAGTTGGTAATACCAGGTTTTTATTGGTGTAAGGGCCATACTTAGCCCAAGAGCGCCATGGAACATGACGGAATAGCAATGATCTGCAGTCGCCATTGATGTCTCGTACCCATGTGTGCATGTTAACCATATGTTGTGATAGCTTTATATCTGCCCCTGCCAAGCTCCATAATGCAGTCATGGCAACGCCAACTATGTGGTTCAAGGTGCTCAGAACACCACGTAAAGGAGTTACTCAGACACCAACAACTGCAGCCAACCGCAACAGACGATGAGACTTCGAATCCAATGGAATAAATATTGCTTTTCTGCATTTTAGAATAGCATTATTTACAACTGTTACAGATATTCAGTGCTGCCTGTGATTATAAAAATGTATGTGTTTTATACATAATTTTTCCCCGAAATTGAAAAAAATAAAGTGGGGAGGGGGGGATTACACAAACACGAGACTTATGCACTGAAAAATACGGTAGTCTAAATGAGTTTCAGAAGCCGGAATGCACGATTTCGATACATTTACAAATACACTGAGATCAAGCAGGTGCCGATCTCATTCAGAGTCAAGATCAGCTGTGCTACAAGCCTCTAGGCCTAGATTATGTCAGTAATATTTATCAAGCTCCGTGCCAGTAATAAGGGGCACTAGTAGACCAGCTAGATTAATTACCTTGTGCTCGAAGATCTTGTCAGTAAGCCACTTGTCAAGCTTGAGATATTCTCTGCGTGAGGCCAAGCAGGCCAAGTCAATCACCAGAGGAAAGGAGTTGCTGCTTAGCAGCACAGAGAGGGCCTTTAGGTCCTGAGCAACATCCAGAATTCGGGACAAACGCCCTTGCTCACTTTCTCCACCACGCATGTACCAGTCAGCCATGGTGTGCATTATCAAGGGCCGAACGACATTTGCGTGATTCTAAATAGCAAAAAAGAAATTTAAGAACAAATATTAATGTCATATACACTAACATGACTTAGTAGGAACAATAGTAATAGCAAGCCGTGGAATTTCATATGAAAAAAACACAATACAATTATGAGGCACTCTGTAATGGGGACTGCTTATTAACTCTGGCCACCTGGAAATTTTTAACACAAATGTATGAGCACAGGATAAGGCAAAAAAAATATAAGAACTTTTTTTTTTCTCTATTAGCCTGCTATGTGCTAGAGTACACTTCTAATCAATTGATTTTCATTCTGCAATGTTCAGTACAAACACAAGCTACCATGCGATTCTCCAATTCTTCTAACATAGGAGTAGATCTACCGAAAATAGCCTCTACCCTACCGCAAGAAGCGAAAATAGCCTCTACCCTACCACAAGAAGAAAACAGCAAGCAAGGGCAGCAGTTCTAGAATATGGTGACCTTAGTCTATTGCAAGCAAAGTGCTCCCTAAGTCACTTTCACTGCATACATTGGTGACATACAGATTAGAAAGGGCCTACTAGCTGCCACACATTATGGCACATTTTGTCCCTCGGGGCCTTGCAAAACACTTTCTTAAGTACCCATTGAATGGCTTCATTGCAAGAGTTTATTGCCTCACAAATCAACTGTCGCATAACCGTTAAGTACGAGTGAAGTTGGGAGATTTGTAGCATGCTGCAATTGCTTTCTTTCTTCTATAGTCCCGAAGAGCACACTGGAAGCTAAGCAGTGAGGCATGGCACAGCAGAAAGAAGTTAAGTAGCGTGCACATCATAATCTTGGAAACTTTTCTTCCTCCACCCCCCCCCCCCCCCCCAATGTACACCTTACTTCCAGAGTGATCACAACTGTACTGGCACATGGCAGCCTCAGCAACCATTTCATTTATTTAATTATATGTTTACTTATTCACATATAGTGCCACCTCCTAGCAAGAAATTGCCAAGGTGGGTACAAAATTTGTGTGCAAATCAAGCATAACATAAAACAAATTAGCATACATTTAATAGTGTTTCCATGAAGGGACTACTGCTGAAGCTACAAGGAGCACCTAGATGCTTTGGAGAAGGATGTGCATCACCTTAACGTGAAGTAATCGAAGCTGACAGACTATGGCTTTCTGCAAACAAGTAGTACATAGTGCACTACCTTATTTGCACGAAAGTGAATGTATTGATCTCCCCTTGTTTGTTTTTGTGCTAGTCTTCTCAATCCACTTATAACAATTATTAGTTATACCAATTGGATTTCCTTGGCACTTTGATATTGTTAGGTGGACAGAACTGTGTGATGTGGTGATCTGGGTGTATGACATTTTTCGAGAGAATGTGGAATAATTTTTAGATGACCAAATATTAACTGTAAATACCAGGCTACATACTGTGTGTTTGGCTCGCATGTTCTCAGGAGCCTGGATCATGGATCGGCAAGTTTTCTGACCATGCTAAAAAAAGTGCTGCAGGGCCCCTTCAGCCTTTTCAGAGCCAATAAAGTACATACCGAGCGAGCACATGCAAAATGGAAAGTTAAATACACATGCATCCATGTTTTTTAGAAACACATATTTCTTTTTTCTCATTTCTCTTGCTTGGCATGTCCGGCCACACTGCAGAAATTGTTTTCATGAGCAGCTGTCTTTCCTTTTTTCGTTTTTTTTTTTCTTAATGCCTTGCTACAATGGTGAAACAGCTATCACTCGTGCATCCAGTTTCGCATAGGCCCTCAGCAGCTAGTTTTTGTCCTATGGTCAGTTTCCACTTCTTGCACCTGCAAAACTGATCTTTGGTTTCCCATCACTCAAAGGGTGAACACTCTGTCACTTAGTGCTCCCCAAGTACGATCAGACCTGTTTGCACTCAGGCTGTAGAAAAAAAAGACTAAAAGAAGAAAGAAAAAAGGAGCACGACCATCTTCCGCAAAAACAGGTAAAAAACCCTGGAAGGAAGCAGGGTATGAACGCCAAAAACAGGAAATGAGGAAGAGGGGCTCCGAAACAAGGAGACGCCTCCAAGCGACGGAGAAGAGAAGACGTTGTTGTATTGATTGTGAATATAGTGAGTTATTTCCTTGTTCCCACAGCTTTCTTGTGTGACTTTCTGACGAGTTTCTGTCGAACTAAGCGTAATGAAAAGTTTTCAATAAATGGTGCCAAAACCCGGGATGAAAGGCATTGTCTGAGAGGTGCGCAACAGCCCACGAGAAAGAAGAAAGGAAAGCGTCATAAAGAAACTCAAGGCAAAAAGAAGGACCCAGCAGCGGCAAAGTAGCATCATCATTAGAGAGGCTACTACAGCATTAGAAGATGCAGACATCCTGCAACTATCGGCTCTTCTACAAATACTGGAAGCGAAGAACAACGAACTACGAAAAGTGAACACCAACTAGGAAAGCTGCCCCTTCCATCCCCCGACGACATCTTCGAAGAAGACTACGCCAAATAGGTGCAGTACGACGACAGAGTGAACAACACTATGGGTCTGCTTAAGGCAAAAATTACAGCTTGTGTCACAACTGGTGCTTCAACAAGAAACTTACAAACAACACAGCCAATGCAAACGATGCCTATAAACTAGAACAAAGCGAGCTCAGTGCTTGCTGCCATATTGAAAAGCGCGTGGCACCATCTGTTGCAAGCGCGGTGAAGCAACACCCTCAACTGCCACGCGAGCAGACGCTCTGCAAATCAAGCGCAAAACTTCACAACCCGAGTGCAGCTGCAATCATGTTTCGCGCTGTTCCTGTGCTGAAATTTGGTGCTGATTTCGTGTGAAACGTCAATGAGACCTTTCTCGACAGTCCCGAGTGTCTGCAGCACGTGCATTGCAGACTGCAGAAGCAACTTCATCAGGTACATATTATCCGACTGGAAGAAACACGAACAGCGTTAACTGCGGTGTGCCTTGGCTGTGACAAGCCAGAATTTGTGCTGTAAGCTGGCGTCAAAGTAGCGCTAGAATCTGGCTCCAATTTACACTCATGCACCACATGTGTATAAATTGCCAGTCCTGCCAGGCACTCGGAACACACAAGCGGTGCAAAAGAGCCAGCCAGAACAAGATTTTAAAATGCTACGGTGACAAATGAGCACATGTAGATTCACCTAGTGAGAGTCAAGGCATGACACAGTTCGACTAAGTCGAAAGACATGCTTCCCGCGCCGGTCACATCTCTTTTCATTGCGATAGTAGGCCGTTACAGTTGTAATAAACATGCGCGGCGCGTGCATCCACGCGTGAGTCATAATACATATATCCTATCATTGACATGCAGCCTGCGAAAGAGTACGGCAATAGCTTTGTGCCGCATACTACAGGCATACTGAATGCAAATCGCTGCTGTAAAGTGGAACAGCTGGAGTCGCGCTTGAATGAATGCAATAGGTATACTTACTCGTACACTTCACTGGGCTTGATTGCGATTATATCCTATAGGACGGCCGAGCTCAGCGTTTTTCGTTGTGAACGGAAATCTGTTCAATCCCAAAACAACACACCGGCACAACTCCCGCGATGCACTGTGAACTTCACAAGCAGTGCTCTGCAATCTCTTCCTCTTGCACTGGTTGTTGTCGCATCAGATGATAGCGCAGTGGTGCCCAGATGACATTTTATAAGCAGGCGCAGTGTGAACAGGCACTTTTTGGCATTTTTAAACTCCCACAGCCACTGCATGCCATGCTAGCGAGGCGCGCCGTGACAGTTGCAAACAAATTATGGTGTCTCTGTGAGCAAGAATATACCGCCGAAGGCGCCTGGGTGCGAGGTAGGCGTGCTCTCGTCTCTACAAGTCCAACAGCATGGAATCAAGCTACCGAAGCTGCGCATGGAGACCTTTGGGGGTGAGCTGGCCTCTTGCAAGCCTTTTGGGAGTGTTTTAAGCAGGCAGTTCACGACATAACAGCCTATCAAAGTCGCAAAAGTTTCAATACTTAAGGTCTCTTCTCACGGGACTAGCGATGGCCGCCATCAGGGGGCTGCAGGCAACAGAAGCATGTTACAAGGTTGCTATAGACATACTACAGCGTAGATAGAGACAAAGAGCAGATCCAACAAGAGTATCTCGGAAAACTAAGGGCACTTCCTCGAGTATCTTCATCAGCTGACGTAAGGGGACTGCGTCAATTGTTTGACCACGTACAGATGCACATTTGTGGTCTGTGAGGACTATGAGTTAATGCATCTACATACTCTGCGATGTTATGTGACATAATCTTGTCATCGCTTCTGGAAGACATGATAGCAGAGTTACACGACAAGCAAGCCAAGCCAGCAAGCCTAACATGTCCACAGTCCAGTTGGAAGGACAAGAGTCGTCTTCCCCTAGTGCAATGGCAACCGGCGTCGACAGAAAGCTTTCCAAAATTCTCGACTTTCTCCTTCTTAAAACAGAGAGCAGGGAGCAGTGCAGGGAGGTGCCACAGTTCCCGATGGAGAACAGTAAAGCAAAGTTCCCGATGGAGAACAGTAAAGCAAAGCTGAAATTCCTCGAAAATCACGAAAGACGCCAGCCACCTCGAAAGCCAAGTGCGGCCGTTCTTCGCACGCACCCGGAGCGGGTGATGAGGCGTTTCTTTTGCGAGTCAGGGGAACACGAAACCAAAGCTTGCACAGTTCCCGAAACCGAAGCTTGCACAGCAGCGAGGCGCTGCTTTCGATGCACAGTTGGGGGCACAAGTCAAGGCAGTGTAAAAAAAAAGTAAACTGCATTCACTGCAATAAAAGCCATGCCTCCTCCGTATGCAACCCCGACTGGAAAGCAACAGAAGTTAAGGAGGTACTCGCAACTAACGTGCAAGCAGCCTCAAAAGAAGAAAAAGTAAAGGAAGTTGCCCTCCAAACGTTTCGTACTCTGGCTCTTGGCGAAAGTAATTGGGGCTACCTCCGAGGTGTCACAGGCAGCGGCAGCCGAAGGACTTTTATTCAAGAAGATATTTTCAGAACACTCAACTTGAGGACGCTTGGAACCACCCACTTTCACCTAAACACTTTCGGCAGCCAAAGCCTAATGCCCAAAGTCGCCGTGTGGTTGAACTACGTGTTTGGAGTCGCTGCACTGGAAAAGAAACGACTATAGAAGCTGTCGAGGGGTCGTTCATCAGTAAGGACATTCTCCCAGTTCCAGTAAGGACATTCTCCCAGTTTCCGTGGAACATACTTTCGTACAGCAGCTGGAGAAAGAGGGGCCATAATTGCACACAGAGTTTTTGATGAGGACATGCCAGCCATCCCAGGAATCGGAGTGTTAATTGGAGCTTACCACCTCTGGAAGTTCCTAACTGGGGAAGTTCAATATTGCAATGAAAACCAGGGGCAGGCAGCTATCAAGACAACATTCGGTTGGACGTTCCAAGGGCTTTTCAGCATGAGCACCAGCTTTGTTGTGGCATCAAATGTCTGCATTTTAAAGATCGGCGTGGACATATTAGATGACGTGGAATCGACACTTTAGTTTTTTGGAAATAGGACGCCATAGGGATCTTAGATGAAGCTCAAAATCAAAACATTGAGCAGAAAGGTATTGCAAAAATAAAGAAATTTGGGCGATATGAGATAGCATCGCCGTGGAAGAAAGAGCCAACAGATCTAGCAGACAACAGGAATATGGCAGTGCAAAGGCTAAGAAAATTGACAAAGAAATTGTGCCTCAACAAAGAACTCGCTCAGAAATATGACGAAGCAATTAGAGCATACCCGGAATCGGGCTATGCAGAACACGTGACGGAGTCAACGTCACAGAATTTACAACATGCCTCACCAGCCAGTGATTCGGAATGACTAGACTACAACAAAACTAAGAGTGGTATTCGATGCCTCATTACATGACCCTGGAAAATTCTCATTGAATGAGCATCTTGAAAAAGGCCCAAACCTCATCAGAGACTTGGGGCAAATGCTGCTGTGTTTTTGTCTGCACAAAGTGGCGCTCGTCGCAGATATAAAAAAGGCATTTCTCCGAATCGAAGTGCAACCAGAGCATAGAGATGCATTGAGATCTTTATGGTGTAGTTTCACAACACTGAATGTGGACGACTTGCCAGATATTTAGGAATGGAGAATGGCAAGAGTGCCATTTGGCACGATGGCAAGCCCGTATCTGCTGACTGCCCCCATTCTCCAACATGTTGGGAAACAGACAGGTGGGCTCCAGAAAACAGTGGCCATACTCAAAGATTCATTTCACGTGGACGACTTGGTAACCGGCGCCGACACAGTAAAAAAAAGCACTAAAGATTGCCGCAGACAGCAAAGAAGTAATGAAAGATGCCAGTATGCACATGCGAAAGTGGTCGTCGAACTCAAGATAGGTGCGTGAGGAACTTCAGGAAGGCAAATCTCAAGACCAAGATGAAGTACTGAAAGTATTGGGTTTGCCATGGATGCCTACAGATGACTCCATGACAGTATCGATAGGTGCAGTGCTGAATGCTATCAACACAGGCGTCATCTCGAAGCGGGTGGTGTTATAGGCATCTGCTTGAGTGTTTGATCCTTTGGAATTATTCACCCCATTCGTGGTGACAGCTAAGGTGCTTTTCCAGAAACTTTGGGAGAGAGGACTGGGATGGGATCAACAGCTTCCCGAAGACCTGGCGAAATTACGGAAAGATGTATAAGGACATTCCCAGCCTACGAGAGCTCTGGTTCCCGCGCTACATTGCGCCCAGTCAAACAACCTCATGAGAGCTCCACATTTTCTGTGATGCATGCCTGAGAGCATACGGAGCCTGCGCTTATCTGCAAACAGAAAAATACAACGAAGGGGTTAGTGTGAATCTCATCTTTGCCAAATCTCGAGTGTCTCCCCTCAAGACAATCTCTTTGCCACGACTTGAGTTGATGGCAGCAATAATTGGGGCTCGAATGGCTGTTTACCTACAGGATGTAATAGGCTGACCAATCCCAGTGTGTCTGTGGTCCAACTCCACCGTAACACTCTTTTGGATTAAGAGCACAGCCAAAGAATGGAAGCCATTCGTAGAGAACCGCGTCAGGGAAATACAAAGTGTCCTTGAAGAAAATTCTCGGCCGTCAGTCTCACCTTTGAAGAACTTCTGACAAAACTGACTGACATAGAGGCTACCATCAACTCACGTCCACTGACGTATGATGGACAAGAGCCCGGAGAGGAATCGATTCCGACTCCATTTTATCTGTTAACAAGAAATCGATTGATCAGTTTACCAGAAGCAAGGGCCGTGGCAATCACTTTATCGACTATAGCGGACATTGGTAGGCATTGGCGGCATCGTCGATCACTAATAGGTGCTTTCTGGAAGCAATGGCATAAAGAATACCTGCTACAGTTGTGGTCCGCTCACACAATTTCATCCAGTGAAACCAATGGTCATCTTGGATGTCTGGTCATCTTGCATGAGGACCACTCACAGACACATGTGGAAAACTGGCAGTGTTTCGGAGGTGTTTAAAGGGCGTGATGGAGCCGTGCGGTCTTGCATAGTCTCAAGGTGCTTTTCAGTAAGGCCGTTCGGCGATCAGTACAACTTCTATATTCTCTGGAGACGAACCTAAAATGAGCGGCACTAATTTGGGGGAGAGGATCCAGAAAAAAGACCCCCCCAAAAAAGAGATAAGGAGCGCGACTATCTTCCACAAAAACAGGCAAAGAAACCCTGGAAGGAAGCGGGGTACAAATGATGAAAACCGGAAACAAGGAAGGGGGGGCTCCCAACGGGGAGACGGAGGGTCGGCGGCTCAAAAGGAGGAGATGCGACCAAGCGATGGAGAAGAGAAGACGTATTGATTGTGAACATAGTTATTTCTTTGTTACCACAGTTCTCTCGTGTGACTTTCTGACGAGTTTCTGTCTAGCAAAGCGTAATGAAAAGTATTTAACACACAGGCGCTCACTTACAGAACACAAACAATGCCACAATGATTGTGTTTCCAGTTTTAAAAACTCACAAAAACAAATTCAGTCTCACTGGCTATTGAGACGAAGGATTATTCCGAGTTCTCCCTCGTTTTGCTTTCTAAACGCACAGACAACCGTAGTTTTTTTTTATTTTCTCCGGTGTGCCTCCCCATGAAGTTCACTTACACCATGAAAGTGCACGCTGATTCCTCTTCAGAAGTGCGTCTAGCGGCATACTATAGTATGCTTATTTTTGTATCTCTGTGAATTATATTTATTGACAAGAGACATTTTTTTTTTTAATTTGTATAAGCTACTATTAGCGATTCCTCTTGTTACTTATGAATAAACCATATGCACATCATAACAACAAACTTCTTTTGTCACATTACTGTCGCCCCAAAAAAAATTTGACAATTTTTTCGAAAGCAATTTGTTTGAATTTAAATTAGTAAAAAAATAAATAAAAGTGATCCAGTCATATTTGGCAACAAAAATAATATGACCCTTAAGGTTGAATGCACATGCATGCACACAAGATGCATTTGTACGTATGTGATTATACGTATGTGATTTATGGCATTGCTGTAGCCCCGAGAAACAATGAAAACTCATGCCAACACCTTCTGTCCCATACTAGTCCAATACTAATTTTCTATGTTCTCCGTTGATACACATATTTTTCATGACCTAGCTTCACCAAATTTTAATGTACAGTGGAATTTCGATTAGTATACGTCTCGTGATTTCGCGACAACCCGCATTTATCAACGCAGTTTTCCGCAGACTTCATATCTGCTGACGACTTTCCGATTCTGTCGCAAAAAAACAAACTAACAAACAAGAACACTCTATTCAAATCGACCATCGAGCAAATGTTCACAAGTGCGAAATGAGAACGTACGTTCCCCTAGTTTGACGAATAAAAAAGTAGAGAGAGGGGATGTCTTCTTAGAATGGAAAATTTATTCTCCTTAGGTTCATGTACTTCTGCATATGCCTCGACTGCGTGTGTATCTAGGTTCGTTATCTAGACAAGCTCTATGCACACAGTAGCTTCAGCTGGCCAAAAAACATCTCCGAGATCCTAACAATGCCATGTTTTTGGTGCATGAACACTTTTCCTTGTCGAAATACAGCTGCTCACCGGCCTTTGTCGTACTTGCAGTCACAAGCTACACCACGCAAAAGGGCACGACACAGCTACTTTTCACAGTGCGAGATACCTTCCACTTGACCGACGTCAACGTTCATGTTAACAGCGGGACGTCACTTGTTGCACTGCACAAGGCAACAAATTACAATGCGCACAGCTCAGCCGCACACTAAGGCATTCTACGCAAACTCTTGATATGTCACCATTATGTGATGATGATGATGCCATGTCCGGCTCAACTGACGGGAAGCTGTTGGCAACGTGGTTTCGGTTTCATTTTCACATGCAAGAAATTTTTGGACTTGATTTATCTGGAGAAAGATGCGTGTTGGATTCAATTTTTCAAAGTCGAGAATAAAGATTCCCTCACACTTCCTTCAACAAAGTAATGCCGTGATTGGCAAGAATAATTTAATCTACCTTCCTTGAAGCACCACAAGGTCATGCCGTGGGCTTAATCAGGCGGTCTCTACCGGTTCTTTACACAAGGCCCGGTGACACTGGCTACATTCTTAGTTTTTCGATTAGACGATGCCCGAGTAACATTGTCAATATACCTGTTTTGCATGGTCCCCTGAAATTCGTACAATCGGGGTTCCACTGTACATGTAATATGTAAACAAGTATTCTCCTGGGAACAGATTTCACAGAACCTTTTATAAACTTTTTTTAAATGGATTGGAAATTTGTCAACTGAAGGAACTTTTCTCAAATGATTGCATTTGGCTCAATTGGAAAATTTTATAATTGGGACACTCCTGCTGAAACAAAGCCCACTATGTTTACTTTAGCATGTGTCTTTATATTAACTGCACTCATGATTTCCCAATACTAGGCCATCTTACCTGAACATTCCAAGCTGCCTGCAACACTATTGCAGAATTCGGATGATTGCTGAGAAACACAAATACAAGGTTTGTCAACAGTTCCTGACGAAACCCTTGCATGGGTCCCTGAAAGCATATATTTGCATATTATAAGAAATTCAGACACGCAAGTTAACCTGCAAATATATTAAATTTGGACTTACCATAGCTTGTAGAAGCCCAAGCATCAGCAAGTCGGGACAATGTTGAACGGGATATTTGAACAAGTCATGTACATGTGATGAGTACTGCACTTTCTCTGACAAGTTCAGAAGAGTTTCTACAAGATCCAAAGACTTCCTGCATAAAAAAAAAAAAGCTCTTAGAATTTATGCTGACATATAACAGAATTTTTGTTCTTAAAACGAAAGTTTTGCTAACCAATTGGCTATGTCTCTGTTGTCATCTTCAGGAAGTGCCTTCAAAATATCCATCGACACTGGCCGGTACTTGTAGTCGATCAGGCAAACAATGTCAGAATTTTTCATAATCTGGTGGAATAACGACAGCTGCAAAGTAATAAAAATTGCCATGTATAAATGTGTCACCCCCCATACAGTTCGCTATTATACTATCCTAGGCAAGTTGATGTGCTATGGGCATACAGTTCACCATTGAATGTGGGAAAACATAGGGCATCAACAACCTTTGCCGCTTACTCTAAGCCCATGCTGAGCAATCTAAGACGTAGCTGCCGAAAAAAAAGCAGTTAAACTGGGAAACCAAACTTGACAGCTGTGTGAATAGCAAAATTTTTGTTGCAAAGCGAATTCAAATACAGAAGTGTGAGTACGACTAGAATATTGTTTAAATATTTCTAGAATATTATTGTGATACTCCAAAGCGAAATCACAAAAAAAATGGTGGACCCTTAAACTTTGACTACGAGCTTATCCTGTCCCTAGCAGTGTTGCGGAATGGGCACCTCTATTCCATTCCCATTACATTTTGGAAAATTGCAACTTGACGCAATACAATTCTCTTCAATTTCTTGGAATGAAAAAACAGCCCATTTCTGGAGCGGGAATGGGCTAAGCAGGTCAATTCTATTCCTTCAATTACTCAACGTAGGAAAGGCATATCTCGATAGCTTTATCTAACTAAGAAAGATTGTAACAACATAATGTTGACGTCATTAGATAAGAACTGCAAAACTACGCTAAACATGTTACCACGGTCGAGGGATAGTAGCTTGGTCACTTATCTCGTGCCGTACAACCACACCACTATACGGGCAGTTCTCCCGCTACCTATATTTGCATGATCAGCACAATCTTAAAAAGAGTCAGTAAACAGTTGGAAACACAATTTCTAACGCATTTTACTACCTTGTGTAGTACAACCACACCACTATAGAGGCAGTTCTCTTGCCACCTACCCATGATATTTGCATAATCAGCACGATCTTAAAAAAATGTTAGTAAACAGTAGGCAACGCATGCGTTTACTTGTTTCGAGCGTATTTTACTACCTTTCATCATCATCATTTATTGAACCCTTAAAGGCCCTTTGCGGGGTATTACATAAGGGGGAGGCAAAATCACAATTCAACAGATGCATGATTGTCAATGGTACAAAGCATAATCGAAAGTGAACTACATGATAAAAAAACAATGTCAACAGCAAGAAAAATATATATATACGTGGAAGAAAACGGCAACAATTGTAAATTAACTAACATATCAAGTGATTTGTGATTAGCTGTTTAAATTTTAAGGGGTTTTGTTCGTGCACTATGGATTCAGGCAGGTTATTCCAGTCTTCAATGGCAGTAGGTAAAAATGATTTATTGAAAGCGTTAGTTGAACCATGTAAGCTCTGTAAACATAGGGAGTTAAAGAGGCGACGCGATGAACGGGCAGGAGGTAGAAGAACGGTATTGCGTTGCGACGGGAAATTATGGTATAGTTTGTGCAGAAGGCAGAGCCGAGTGACTTTGTGGCGAATTTCTAGAGGAGGAAGGTTGAGGGATAGTTTGATACTGGTAATACTTAAGCGAGAACTGTATTGTGAGGTGATGAATCTAGCAGTGCGATTTTGAATTGCTTCTAATGCGTCGATTAGGTAATTTTGGTGAGCGCTTCAAATAGCAGAAGCATATTCAAGTTTAGTACGCGTGAAGGTTTCGCAAGCTAATTTTCGGATTTGCGGTGAGCAGGACGTAAGCGATCTTTTAATGTAGCCAAGTGATTTTGCTGAAGCGGTGACTAGTTGTTCTATGTGCTCGGACCATGTTAGTTTACTTGTTATTATTACGCCAAGATAACGATAGGAGTCGACCTGGGTTAAGGGTTGGAAGTTCACAGAATACTGAAAAAAAAAGTTAGTGCGCTTGCGCGAAACTTGCATGAATTTACATTTTTGTGTATTAAGCTGCATTAGCCACCGCGAGCACCAATTATGTATGTTAGACAAGTCATTCTGGAGTGTAATTTGGTCAGTGCAACATGAGATGCGACGGTAAAGCTCACAATCGTCTGCAAAAAGGCGGATGGAGGATGAAATTTTGTCTGAAATATCATTAATGAAGATTATAAACAAAAGAGGCCCAAGAACGGAACCTTGCGGTACACCGGAAACTACATCAACATGGGTTGAGTCATTATTCGCGACAACAGTATACTGAACACGACCGGTTAGAAAATTTTCAATCCAAGATAGGGCTAGGGGTCTATACTGAGACAAGAAAGTTTACTTATTAGACGGCGGTGGGGAACAGGGTCGAAAGCTTTGGATAAGTCGAGGTATATTACGTCTGTTTGAAAAGAAGAGTCTAGGTTAAAATGAAGGACAATAGAAAATTCGTACAGCTGTGTCTCGCACGACAGTCCACGCCGGAACCCGTGCTGGTTAGAAAAAAAGAAGGAATTTTGGTCCGGATGAGTTGCAATGTGGGAGTAGATTACGTGTTCTAGCAGCTTGCAGGCAATGCATGTTAACGAAATAGGACGATAGTTTGAGGTGTCTGAAGGGCTTCCTGATTTGGGCACGAGGGTGACTTTACTTATCTTCCAGTCTTTAGGAATAAAACCAGTGTCAAGGGATTGGTTAAAAATAAATTGTAGGATAAGACTGGATATTATTTTTGTGCTTTTCAGAATTTTAGCGGGTATATTGTCTGGGCCAGGGGAACTCAAGAATTTAAGGTTGTCAATTAGATTTGCTATTCCTTCGCTTGTAACAAAAATGCGTGGCATCTGCGGGAAGTCTCTGGGCGGCAAGGACGGAACATCGGTGGAGGGTTCATGCGTGAATATAGATGAAAAATGGGAAGTCATGATTTCGGCGGAGTCAGTGGCGGAAACGGCCGAACCATCGGGATTAGTAAATGGCAAGCTTTGAGCATCGCTGTTTTTAGGAGACAAATACTTCCAAAATTTTTGTGGGTTATCGCGCAGGATGCCGAGGAGATCATGACCGAAGAATTGCCTTTTTGCATTTTTTAACAGTGAAGAGTCCTCACGCAAGCATGTGCGATACTTTTCCCATTTAACAGGAGATTTCGATAACTGCGGCCTCTCTTTACTATAGCCAGCAGCTAGTAAAGCTTGAAGCATTTGCTGTTACTAACCAGAATTGCTTTCTTGGTACATTGAATTAGGTAACTACTAAGCCACATTTGTTACCAGTTCTCTCGTAAATACCACCGTGAATCTTTTAGTAATCGTGACACTCTTGTGAAAAATTTAGACCAATCTTAATTTGGTCGATTACTTTGAAATAAAAATTCCGTGCTAAGTAATGACACACACATATAGATGGGCAGACGATTTGTACAAAACATTCATTGTTTTTCTAATTCCGTGGCTTCAAACCAGTACATAGTGTGTGATTTTAAAGTAGGAGCATAACTAGCCTTCGAACGGCTGCTACAGTACACGATACCAGCTAAGTGTTGATATTCTATGTACGTGTTTGCGTGTATGTCCTCGTCTGTGATTCGTTTATGCTTCTGTGTATGTTGCTGTAATGCATACTTGCCATGGCAATCACATGAAGTAATTAGTGGCCACTAATTAATCTACATGAACAATTGCACATTGCTTATTATCCTATATATACTTCTGTAATTAAATTACCTTGATGTGGCGATGTACATGCACATATAAACATCCGATAAATAAAAATTCAGTAATGTATTTGAGTCAGCCCTATTCATGAACTACTTTGCAAACTAGCAAGTTTCACTAATCAGCATTTTACTGATTAAGTGCTTTTTGTGACAAGTAATTGAATGAAATGTGGGGTTTGATGTCCCAAAACCATCATATGATTAAGAGAGACGTCGTAGTGGAGGGCTCCGGATATTTTGACCACCAGGGTTTTTTAACGTGCACCCAAGTCTGAGCACATGGGCCTACAGCATTTTCGTCTCCATTGAAAATGCAATTGCCGCAGCCGGGATTCGATCCCGCGACCTGCGGGCCAGCTTCCGAGTACCTTAACCACGACGGGGCATTTGTGACAAGTAAACAGACATTATTTAGTTAGCAGGCCTTTTTCCAAAGTGTGCATGTTTAAACCAATGATGTTTTAATATTGTTTAAGCTTAAATGCGTTGAAGCTAAAATAACGGCATAGTGAATCATCACGTAGGGATTAGGGGAGGCCTTGCCTTGGTTATGTGGGATCTGCCGCTTTGGCTGGCTACCCGAACCAATGCTTTCGAATATCTATTCGATCTCTCTCTGTACGGTTCATCTTGTACAGCAGTTCAACGCACACACAGTTCACACAGCACACAGTTCATCGTGTACAAATGTGTGCTGTGCTTACCTAGAGACTATTGCGATTGAGTTTCAGGCAATGGCGCCCATGTGTGTAGGCATGCGGGACAATATTGCAAAAAAAAGGGGGGGGGGGGGGGTAATATGTGGTGAGACTGCGTGCAAGCTGGTAATATGTGGCGTGAATATGCATCACAACTTAGAGAAGCACCTTTTCAAATATGCGTCCGAGTCACCATCTGTGGCAGAAGCAAAAACAAAGTAAAGGATGGGGAGACAGCAGGCAGCTGATGCATCACCGAGGGGAAAAACCTTACAACGTGAAAGATGGGTATGCCACCTCCGTATAGTCCAGCAATACTATAGTGAACTAAACAGGGCTAGTGGGATGAGTGGAGAGCGAAAGCAAGGAGCGGCGGCGAGGCGAAACACACAGAAATCTTCGTGCGTAGTGTGGTGGCGCCACTGTGCCTTTTTCCTAAAGCCTCAGCCCAGCAACGTGTGTTTGACAGCAGGCACTGAAGATTGGAAATGCTTGTGCGTGGTATTCTTGGTGGTGTTATTAAAGTAACGCCAAGTTAGATAGGAGAACCTTGACGGAAGAATTATTCTTTTGAGCAAGGTTGTAAGACTGGGTATACCAGAATGAAACTGCTGCCATCTGACTACACTAAATGACTGGGGTGGACGTTTGTGCGCTTCACAAGATTTGTAGTACAGGGCTGGGCAGTATCGAGATTCAGTAGTATCTCAGAGATACCTTCAGTTCCTGTATCGACATA